TTTTTATGGCAGCTATATAGCTGATGTGGACCTGCTATTTTCCCACCCATCCCACCCCAGGGGAGGACATCCATCACACAGTGATCTCGTGCGTGGGAAATTAACGTCTCCTACCCCTAACCCTGCAAGAGACGGGACCTCCATTTATTCGTCCCTATCCGAGAAGACTAGAATATCTAACCATTTCTTGATGTTAACGTTTGAGAAAGGTAGCATATTCTTCTTGATCATTTTAAGCCCTTGAGTGTTGGTCCGGCCGGGGCTTGAACCCTCGTCCTCCCGCACAACAGTCCAGCGCTCTATCCATTGAGCTAACCGGGAGGCGGTTAGGCCCGCCCTAGACACACCCCTTTATCCGCCCCCGAAAACACATGCACAAATAGTTAGATTTGAGAGTGAGTTTACTCTCAAATCTAGATTTCAGTTGTGTTTATAATTACATAACTCCCCTATGTTGATAAATTACCATAATTTCCTTATCTCTTTAACCAGTGGAGGATATAACGCGATTGTTTCTACGAATTCTTTTTTCGAAAAAAATGCATGCATCAGTCATGCAAAGCGGGCGCGATATAAACGAGCGGGAGCTAGTCGGGAAGGTAAACGACATTCGATTATGGAGGGCTCCACCATGCCCTAACTATGACCATGCTAAAGCAAACTTGAGAAACGAAGGACTTTAGTATTGTATACAGGCGGAACGATTGGAATGAAGAAAACAGATGGAGGTAAAAGATCGTTGAATAATTTTCCTCTTTATTTTGTTTGGCGTCTCATGTTGTCAGACATGTTGTCTGATAACGCAATGATCATATTAGTTATGCTTTGTTTCACTTTGTTTAGGATATCAGCGGAAATCTGGTCACCTTCAGTCGCAAATAAAGCGACTTCCTTTGTTGTATGATGTTGAATATGCAAAGATTGAACCCAAAGAAAGTGTTACGTCTTTCAGCTGTGACAACACTGCTGGTACTTCCGCGCTGGAAGAGTTAGCCAAGCCGTAAGTCTATGTACAATAAGCGTGCGTGTTCAGCTGTTTGAATGAAGTGTTTAGGCTTTTGTGAAAAATGTTTTGTTTTTAAACCCTGCTGATTTGCTCGATGTGGTCTTAGCGAGCGATAATGAGCTGTTGATATTTGTAGCAATGTATTTAATTCGAGAGTTACTATAATTATTACAAAATGTCTGCGTCGACAAACGGGAGTCAAAATTTTTTTCTGTACATCCTTCGTTGGTGTTGAATTAATATGTAATCAAATTTTTTAAAACCTGTGTCTACAGTGCTTCTTAAAATTAACCAAGCTTACTTTCCTTTTCAAATTGTTTATTCACTCTTCGTCGCTCGACACATGTTTACAAACATGCTTGAGTGACTTACGCGTGATTTTACGTCATAACCCGGCCAGTCAATGATTAACCTTCATCTTTATCTTTGATAAGTATACTCCTAAGACAGCAAAACAAAATATATTAGGAGTTTCAAAATAATATCATAAAAAAAAAAAATTTCAAAAACAATGGCACTAAGTAATGAACAACAATTGGTTAAAACTCCTGATATAAGTATGATCTATGAATTACAAATAAATAAATATAAAAACAACAAAATATATTGAATGATTATATAAATATAGCTATAACATAATGTACTATTCCTAAACTAAAATATTAAAACAATTGATAGATGTCAATTAGATGACTTGATGGCTGCAAGAGCAATTGCCTTAAACTCATTTAAGTTAACGTCTTTGGTCTGTATCGCAGCTCAATTTGGAAGAGTCATTCAAAGATTGACTGTGTTTTAACCTGAAA